AGGAGCATCTAAGGTATTAAACTTAATGAAAAGAGGCATAGGATGCTGAAGACATTGAGAAAATACCAAAGTGTGGTATTTGGTTAACTCTTCAGGGAGAGCCTCATTAGGGTTAAATCAGACCCCTGAGTCTGCCTTCTCTCTGTTCATTAAAGTAAAACATGACTTTTCTTATGTTAACTGCCCACCTACTAAATACAATTACACTAAGCAGAATTTTCAAAGCCAGGCACATTCATTGAGAAGTCTGAATGGCTTTTCATAGAAAATGAGCAATGAGCAGCAGCATGAGTACTAAAGTTTCTCAGTGTCTAATAAGTGGAGCAATCCTAATGGCTAATGCCTTTGCAGGTCTGCACGTGAGTAGTGCAAGCATGCTATATGCTAGTGATTATGTTTTCACTTATTTCCCTAATTTTTCAAAGTTACTTATGATAGCAATAAACTGTTTATTATAATAGTCTCATTCAATAGGCATAAAGTATATAGGAAATCAAATCAAGATAGATATATTTAGGGTACTGGAAATATAACACTACATTTTCATCTAAGTTTGTTCATCATAACATAAAGCTACATTTTGCTTTGTGAAACGATGCTTCATTAGCATTACATACAAGTAATATTAAATGTACTATTTACTACTATTTTAGCAATGGATAAAGTTGCCAAGTCCTGGAAGAAACGAAATGGTGTGTGCTAGGAACTAGAGGATGTTGTATTAAGGGAATTTAAGTCAGAATGGGAAAAAAAAATATATATATATATCAAATAATCTCAGCCACAGGCATGTATAAAGAATAAAGAGAATAGACAATGTTAATGAAAACAAGCCCGTAGATTCCACAGAACACAGTTTAAAGAAGTCTAATAGGGACCAGAGAACAAGGATTAGGATATTGGTGGTGGGTGTGATGTTAACATTGCATCACTAAAAATTACACCTTTGTAAACTAGTGTCACCTCAAAAAAAGGTTAGGAGTATGCATGAAGAAGAATGGTATATCCTAAAACTGCAAAAATACCATAGGAAAAGATTGTGAAAACATCCTGCAACTTGAGGTCTTTGTGGGAGACTTACTACTCCCAGAAAAGAACTGTCAGGTGTTTCAATGTTCCAACAATATGCAACTCCAATCTTCTCTCCTAATTAAAAATCACAAGAAGGAATTTTTAAAAAAATGATTATTGAACACATTGTATTCATTAGTGCATAATAATGACTGATTAGTGAAAGAAATTATACAATATTGCATATCCCACAATATTTAGGGACTGAAATAGTTAAAAGGATTCCTCAGAAGAGTAAATGATTTTCACTATTTCTCTCACATCATCAGTTTAACATGCTTATAACTGGTCTAGCAGACAGCTCTAAAGTTCTATTTCTTTTTGTTCCACTGATGATAAATTTTTGGTCTAGTAGTTCCTCTCCACTGCCTCCCAACCCACCAAAGTTCATTTCTACTTGGGGGATTGTTTGTTTAAACTCTTGCCCCAGGTTGTTTGACTTTATAGTTATATTCATCCTCTTTTTATCTTTGGCACTGACTTTATCCCAAGCAAGTTTCATGTTTTAAGAGTGAATAAGACCACCAATGGAGTAATATTTTGAGGCTGTGGGAGCTGCCTTCCCAGTGTTCAAACCTTTGTAACTGCAAGATCAGTCGCTTACCATGCCTCCTGCAGTTATTTTATGTGTAAGAGGTGAATAACTTCAATTAAGAAGTTGTACAAAGAAGTTGAGCTGGGTTGAAAAGCATAAAGTGAAAAGAGTATCAGGCCTCACCACCCACCCTCCTAATTTCCCCCCCTGGGAGGGAAGTAAGTAGAGTTGAATGCTTTTTGGTTGAAAGCGAAAGGAGTTGTGAGCCTTGAATAAGCATACCCTCTCTGACAAAGCCTGGATTCTTTGGCCCTTCAGAATACCTCTAAAGAGAATATTCTTGGCAGCTAGACCGAGTCTCTGTTTGCGTACTATATAAGCTGTCACTTCTTCCTCTAAACACCATAGGGTGGCCTGGTCATCTCAGACTTTTGCTTGTTTGTGCCTCTACACACCTATGTGATATCTCGGGGTACCATTCTACTGCGTTTCTCAAACATGCAGTGAAGGTTGCCAGCGTAGTGGCCCGGACGGGACCCAGCGAGCTCTGCAACTGTCCTCTAACCCCACCTGTGCCTCGGGGCCCTACACTTGAGCCTCAGCGGGAGCTGCTAACTACTCAGTCTGGGAGTCTGTTTGACAGTTTCTAGAACTCACCACAGGACTTCCTAACAACAACAACAACAACAACAAAAGTTGTACCTTGTCCCCTCTTGCTAAGAAATTCATGCCTAAAAACGGTGGCCGCCTTTGAGTCACACCAACGGGGAGGCGTTGGCAAAGAACTCTTGAGGCAGAGAGAAAATTTTTTGTGAGGAGCCTAAGGGAGTTGGAGGGGTGTGTGTGTGTGTGTGTGTGTGTGTGTGTGTGTGTGTTGGGGTGCTGGGATTAGTGTCAGAGCCAAGC